TCTTCCTCATTAGGGATGTTTGATTCCTGTCTTAAATTTACAACTGATTCATCTCTGTCAAACACGAGAGTTTCCTAGTGATATGGATAAGCATTCATTGCTTTTTAATTAACAAATATTTTCCTTTAGGGGTAACCTTAGGGGACACTACTGTAAGAGCGCTAATGTAAAATGAAGATTCATCTTCTGTATACATCTCAAAAAGTCACTTTGTTAATATTTTATGCCTTGGCAAATAGTGTACACAGAGCCAGTTTAAACTCACTTCAAGCTCCATTCTGCACTTCTTTCCTTAAAGGTCAGGAGTTAGTCATGGGCTTCATCCATCATAAGCTGTTTCACATTAAGAAGTGTTGCACCTACAGCAATGCAATACAATCCCTTATTTGGCTGTGCTTTTTGTCTGAAAAACCCTTTTCCTTCCATGATGTCATTTAAGAATGAGGAAAGGAGATGGGAAAACTGCTTATAAGCCCAAAGACAACTTTCTCCCAGCCTACGTCAGCCTCAGTTCAATCACAAATTGGAACCAGCCAGCTTCCACACAGCCAACACAGAGTGCAGAATAGATACCACCACTGACCTGTAGTCAGAAGACTATTCTAACCATGCACTACAGATACACACAAATGGGCCAGAGCAGTGGTCTTCATTCTTTTCTTTTTGCAGACTACAGTACAGTGGTACCTCGGGTTAAGTACTTAATTCGTTCCAGAGGTCCGTACTTAACCTGAAACTGTTCTTAACTTGAAGCACCACTTTAGCTAATGGGGCATCCTGCTGCTGCCGCGCCGCCGGAGCACAATTTCTGTTCTCATCCTGAAGCAAAGTTCTTAACCTGAAGCACTATTTCTGGGTTGGTGGAGTCTGTAACCTGAAGCGTATGTAACCTGAAGCATATCTAACCCGAGGTACCACTGTACTTGAAAATTTCAAGGGGTGTCAGTAGGCTACTTTGGGGGGTTTTTTGTTTTTTAAAGTACATATGTAACTCATTGTTTAATAATGTTGCTTCTTCATCGATGACATCGTCATCAAAATCAGTGCTATATTATGAAAATAAGAAGGGCCCTTTTAACTGGTAATTTTTTCAGGGTGGAATCCACACATGTTACCTAAAGTTTTATAAGTCTCTCCCTGAAGCTGATACAGTTGTATCCCCACCCTCTTCCCACGGCTCCTAGCCCTTCAGCTTTCCACAAGCTTATAGGAGCTTATCATTTAATGCAAAAGCCCCACTACTAACAGGAATGAGCCTGCTCCCCACTCCATTTCCCATGGGGTAGGGACTCCCATCCCCATGTTCTGCTTCTTTACCAGTTCATGGCCAACCAGAGGAATATGACAGAGGCCACGGCCAGTTTGGACAGAACTGATAATAGAGTGGAGCCATAGTGTTGCTGAGCAAAAGCCTGGCTCCTGGCCACAGCCTTCTGAGAAAAATGCAAAGTGTCTCTTGTGTGCTTGGCATCCTGGATAACATAGGATATTTTGGTTGGAAACTGAAAGAAATCAGCTAGTTTACTTGTTGTCTGGAAGTTTTTCCATGATAATGAATAGGCAACATTGCATTTTCTGGATATTTAAATTAATTGCCATGTGCAACTGGTTTCTGGGGGCCTTTTCGGTGATGGCACCCCAGGCATGGAATGTCCTCCCCAGAGAGGCTTCCTTGGGCCCTTTCGGTGCCAGACAAAGACCTTTTTTACTTCCCCAGGTGTTTTGAGTTTGTCTTTTAGTTCTTTCAATGCAGTTTAATATGGTGGTGGTTTTCTCTTTCCTGTTTCTTTTCATTATTTTTGTTTTGTTTTATTTTGATTGCCTTTATAACATTGCATGGCTGGTAAACGGCCTTGTAGATGTTCGGTTACGCATGCTGCAAACAAATAAATGAAACCCGGCCCCAAACCACGGATGGTGATCTTGTAGCAAAGCGATGGAAAGGCTGGGGCGTGTGTGGCAAGTGTCACTGGGAAAGAAAGGGGAGGCTGGCACTTGTCAAAGAAGAAAGAGTTGAGGAAACCTCTGTAAAAAGCAGAGATCAGCTTGGTTTCAAAGAGGGCAGCTTCACAGATTAAACCAATAATGTGTCCCTCGGCTTCATATAACAATAGCAGCCTGCTTTGTTTTAAGAACAAGTTAACTTTTCTATGATAGGGTGCTTATTAAGAGGTTTTTGTCCATTCTTCCTTTGTCTGCAATGCTGAGCAGGCTGGGGGAGAGAAGGTCAAGTGGAGTTCTGGACAGAGCACATACAATGGTGCCTTGCAGAGAAAGCACGCTCCCGACATGAATAACCAGGAGATTAACAATTCATTTCGCTCCGGAGGAGAGGTAGCTTGCATTAAAGGCGCTATCATTTCTCATGACTTTCATACGGCACAGCCGCTGAGAGGCATTGAGACGCAACCCCTTTTATTTTGCACAAGATTGTTTCTAAAGCTACTGTGGTGATTGGCAGTCAGCAGAATATAATCGCAGTTGACATTTCAGGTCAATAGGAATCCAGGTCTGGAGCCAGCCATTTTGGAAGCAATCCAGTTTGTCGTTTCAGTTCTAATGAAGACGGCGCTGTGACACATTTTATGCAATAAAACCTCATGTAGATTTCTTGATATATTTTTTTAAGAATGGATTTTCTCTGCAATGCTTTAAATGGCACTTTAAGTGTTCTGTGTTTAAAGTTCACGTGTTATTGTTTCGCTGAATCAAGCTAATAGCTTTCCTCCCACTCTGCTTAAAAATAATAGAGCAGCGCTGCAGTCGGGTTTTCTATCTTTGACTTGTATATACAAACTTTATGAAAATAAGTCCCACTTGTGGTCTGGATTACATGAGTTAGCCAGAAAGGGGAAGGTGAGGCAGCTGGAGGGCCTGATCCTGCCTTGTGATGGTAGTTAGACTGGATGATCCTTTGATTCCTTCCAGTTCTGTGATTGTGATGATGGATCTGTCTGCAGAGAAGCAGCAAACGTAATGAAACGGAAAATTATCTAGCTTTGAACACAAAAACAAACATGTCCAACCATGTGATTTCTCAAATTACACGCAGGCATATCTCTGTAATTATTGCTCAAATTAGTGCAGAGATACATTTCAAGGACTTCATAGAACCACAGAATTGTTGAGTTGGAAGGGACCCCACAGGGTCATCTAGTCCAGCCCCCTGCAATGCAGGAATCGCAGCTCATTTGTGATACTGTGCTTTGCTTCTCATTTGTTTTTAATCAGCATTTTCAAAAATTCCTTGCTGTCAGGCAATCTGGGACTTGGGCAATCTGGTAATGCTACCCCTGTTTCCCTCTAACCTCTTCAGAAGAAATGCTTACCTTTTATTTTATTTCATGCGGTTTTTTACTAAATAATATATGGCGGTCACAAGCTCTGTTGCCATTTTTGCCTGTGAAGCATGAATGATAATTGCTATCAAAGCATTTCGATTAAGGAAGGTATGGATTAATTCTTTTATATATCCAATTATGTCAGCTGTTTGTGCAACCAAAATCTACTATCGCAATGAGATGTCTGGTTCCTCTTCTCCTCCCTCCAGCTCCTCCACTTCCAATCTAGAGCAGATTTTGTGGGACATATCGGAGTTTTGCAGTGAGAAGGAGAGAAAGGAGAAAGCATGTTCCACTGGCAGGCACCCACTTGCATGACATTGGATCTTGCTCACTGTTTGCAGCAGGTGTTGGCATTTACAAGTTTGTAAGTTTATAAATTGCTTTTAACTACAGTGGTGCCTCGCAAGACGAAATTAATCCGTTCCACGAGAGTCTTCGTCTAGCGGTTTTTTCGTCTTGCGAAGCAAGCCCATTGACGGATTAGCGCTATTAGCGCTATTAGCGGTTTAGCGGCTATGAAAGGCTTAAAGGCTTAGGGGATTAGCTGCTAAAAGGCTATTAAAGGCTATTAAAGGCTTAGCAGATTAGATAAAGGGGGGGGGAGCGGAAAAAAAATCTCAAGACTCGCAAGATATTTTCGTCTTGCGAAGCAAGCCCATAGGGGAATTCGTCCTGCGAAGCAACTTCAAAACGGAAAACCCTTTCGTCTAGCGGTTTTTCCGTCTTGCGAGGCATTCGTCTTGCGGGGCACCACTGTACAGCATAACTTGATGGGCTAATAACTGACGACATGCAGAGGGCCGGGAGGCCAGCTGGCTAGCCCCGGCTGGGCCTTCTCCTTCCAGCCATCCCACTGCGAAGACCCATCGCTTCTGCTGCGACGTAAATCAGCGACCTGGGCTTAAAAGCCAGGGCACACTATCAGCAGATCAAACTGCACACAAAGGATAGGCGTGAAGCTTGTGGAAGCATACTACAACTACGGATTTATTAATCATAAATCAGGACAAAGAAACATGTCGTCTCTCTCTCTCTCTCTCATCTTCTCAGCGAGAACAGGAAAAGCAAAAGCTATACACAATAGAAGTTCCCAGCAAGCTGTGCTTGAATGTACACAGACATGTGACACGCAACAGTTCCACACGTCTGCTCCTTAAGGTGGAATGGAAATCTCAACATATGTTATTGAAAGGCTGATTAATAAGAATGTTGTTCGACCCTGAAAATGCCAGTTGCAGGAGGACTGAGATACAAGATTGCCTATTATTTATACTGGGATGGGGGCAGAGTTGCATGAGTATTGCCTTGAAAGCTGCTGGGATTTGGGTCCTTTCTAGATCTTCAGATGTCAGCAAATAAGGGTACCCATTTGCCCACCTACTTAAAAACGTACCACCAATGCAACATGACATCATGAGGTCACATCACAGCACAGGCGCCATTGGGCACCTATAACCTAGGGCCCAAGTCAGCGCCCCTGTCCTATGACATCTCACATGAAACAAACACACACACACCAAGTGCATCATTTTTCAGCAGCAAAGAAAAGTCTCTATCAAACAGTGTTCTGGGCCACTGTGACATCAGCAGCAAACAGACCAATACTCATTTTCTACCCTCCCCCCTATTTGCATGTTGGGATCTTTGTTTAAGGTTCAAAAATGGCAATCACATCTATTCTTCTTATAAATGTAATCTCTTGTACAAGCTCAAGGGTCTTCCCTGGGGTGAGAGTTTCCACCTTTTGGTAAAATGATACACTCCCAGGACTGAGGAAACATGACCCCTGATGGAGATAGAGTTATTAAAGTAAGGTGACTTTCTTGAAGCTGTATTCCAGAAATGGAGGCAATGAACCATTAAGATTATTATTATTTTTTGTTAAATTCTGATTAACATTGTAAATTGTTTTAACTGATTTTTAATCTACTAATTGTCCTGGGAATGTATGGCGAAGGCAGGTAAGCAGTATCAACACCATCATCAAGATTCCCCATGAGAGACTGTGCCCTTTGGGTTGCAAAAGGTTGTCTCCCTCCCCCACCCCCCGTTTATTTTGTGTTGCATTCAGAGCACCAAAAAAATTACTTCATTTTTATACATTCTGTAAAACTACAGATTGCGCGACTCTAGTTTCAAGTCTTATTTGTGTCTTGTACAAAACACTGATATTGATACAGATAGCTGTGCACTCCCTTGAACTCCATTTCCCCCTCTATTTAATTCCACAGGCCAGTTGGGAGTTGTAATATTTTCAAGAGTTTAGCTTACAAAAGATCTAAAAATAAACCAACTTCCATGAAAGGTTTGGCCTCTCAGTCTCCAATTTCAGAGAGAAGGATACGTCTGGTCTTGGCTTTAAGCTGCCAGGAGGTTCAGAGCTAATATAAAGGAGTCACATTAGATTGGGTTGGGAAAAGACGAGAAGATAAAGTGAATTCAGCTTGAACTAACAAAGCTTCTATTGAAAGTTTTAGTTTCATCTTTCAAGGCAGTGGAGGAGAGGAAAGATGTATTTAGATACAAGAACCCATTTCCCCAAACAACAATTCTACTTTGACATCATTGCAGCTCCAGAGTACACCCACAACTTCTCTGCAAGTAGGAAAATACAACCTCTATATGTGTTTTAAGAGCACAGCCAATTAGCAAGTTTCCTTGATTTCAGCTGGATTTATAGACACACTTTTTGTGGTTAGATTTAAATATACCACATTAAAACAGACAGTTTGTTGCAGACGTTCACCATCAATATAACTTTGTTCACATATATAATGCTCAATCCCTAGTTGTGAGAGCAGACTATCATGTTCAGAAATATAAACATTTAGATACATAAGTCATCCGTTCTAATGTCACTGAGAGCAAGAAGGCTGTCTTTGTGGGTTTTTGCATCCTGACAGCTTAAATTGGGTTGTGGAATAACTGGGTATAGAACACAATAGCAAACCTGTCACAAAAGCATGTTAATCACTGTGCAACTGATACGTGACATCCACTGGTGAAAGGCATTTTTTACAGTGTTTCATTAAAACTAAAAGGAGGATTAAGAGCCTACTCCTTGATTAATGTCTTCTATGACTGCAAGATGTGAGCTCTAGATATGACTGAAATATAGAGGATATGAAATTAAGTATCTGCCAGTGGAGCCTTCTAAACACATACATGAGTAAGCACTAAAATAATTAGTTAATTCATCAAGGTAGGAGAATTCTTCTTAAAGCCATACCTGCGGCCCCACAATCTAACTTCCTCACCCACTGTGGAACCAAACAATCTTGTTGCATGACACAGAGTACAATTGGTACCCCACTAATACACTCTTGCTAAGGTCAACACCTTAAAAATAGAAATGTTCATCCACTTTGAACAAAGCCAGCTACGAAGCTGACGCATGACACTTTGAAGATATTTGGGTCTCCTCCAAAAAGAAGTGGGTTTTGTCCGAAGCAAAGTAGGCTCTTCCCAAGGTTTCAGAAAAGTGTTGGGGAGGAGGTTCTGGTCAATACCTGAACCTCCCCCAAGCCCTCCATAAAAGGAAAATGCCAGGCAGAAGGAAAGGAGAAGGGTGTTGTTGTTTTGTGACTAACAGCTGTATCTTCCAACTGCAGAATAACCTTATCAGGGCTCTCCAATCACTACATTTGGGAGGAACAGTGAAGAAAAACAACAAAAATTATTCCCGGGTTTCCAATACCCTTTTCCAAGTTGCGTCTCCCACGAGCAACAACATGGTGGCGGCTATGTTTGGGTTGTGTGACCTTATTACAATCCAGGCCAATCCTAACCTAAAGCCCGTCCTAAAATGCAATCCCTTGTATCCAAAGTCTTGTTTGCTCTTGCTACTCTTTGTGTTTGCTTTGAATCAGTTATCAGGTATGTCATTTCCCTTTGCTTGGCTCCCACCCCCCACATTTGAGCCTTACTTGATAGTGGCAGGGAATTACATTTATATTCCACTTTTCCTCCAAGGAGTTAACATACCTGGTTCTCCCCCTCTCATTTTTAATCTCACAGCAACCCTGCGGGGTAGGTTCAGTTGCAAAATGTTGACTGGCCCAATATCACCCAGTAAACTTCATGGCTGAGGTAGGATTTCTTCTTAAGTGGATACTATTTCCACTTAAGAACACAACTCTGCCACTCTCCAAGTCTATGGTCTCTTTAACATATTCTGGAAGGTTGTATGTGATCCCCCCCCCCCCCAATATAATAAACTATAATAATCTGAGGTTAAGGACACATTTATTATTTCACAAAGCTCTTTAAAATGTTAATCACTGTACACACACACACACACACCATTAGCCACTGCAAAAACTACCTGCAAAATACAAGGTTCCAGGTTTTGTAGAGTGGTGGCACTGAAGTGAGAAAATTAATCACTTTGGTACCAGAAATGGAACATCCTAGGTTCATTTAGATTAACAAACTGTTTTGAAACTAATGATATATATAGATATATATAGATATATCCAGTGCTCTGTCACAGATTCTTTCATGCTGTTTCTCCAACTCTGCATTGCAGTGACCTAATGGGTGAAAAGAGAGAGGAGACAAATTGGAAAGAGAGGAGGTCAAGCAGGCTGAACACTGTCAGAAAAAGAAATAGTATGACAAAATAGTCTGTTTACCCCAGCTATTTATTTCCTATTTCCATCGCTACGATTCTTCTCTGCTTGCCACCCAGAAAATAAAACAGGGCTGCAAAGTGTTTTCAAACAGCAAAAGAAAAAGCAGCCTAAACTGATACAAAATTATCTAGACAAAAATATTATGAATGTTTTAAAGGGTTGGAAAAGAACACCGTGGTCAACCCCAGGGTGGGAGATCCATTTAATGTTTTAGATGCTCTAAACCTCCATCTGTTGATGCAGTCACTATGCTCATACTGATGCAGAGGGGTTAAGGAAGGTCTCCACCAGCTATTACAGAAGATAATTGTGCATAACTTTTCCCCCCAGACTCACATCCTATATATGACTAGTGAATACTCTCCCAGTGCCTATCCCTGTATAGTCAAAATAACTTCTAATATATTTAAATAATTTTTCATGGGTGGTCTTGATTTTTTTTTAGGAGAGTTGTACAAGGTCCCCCCACTTCACTTTGGAGCACACTCAGTATTGGCCCCCTATTCACTTCTGATCATTTTGGGAGGCCCTTTCATCCAAAACAAAATTGAGAAGAATAAAGTGTCTGTGATCCCTTTAACTTGCATTGGGAAACCAAAACAGCCAGAGCTTTCTGGTTTCTTCACATAGGTGCATGAAACCTGCAGGTATAGTAGCCGCACAAGAGAGGATTAACCATACCAAATTCCAGACTGGTACAGCCAGGGGTTTCTGTTCTCCCTACCTTTACCACTTGTTGCTGTTTTTCCCAAAAGTAAAATGTCCAAAACTTTCAGGTTCAGTGGTTCACAAAGGTACATGAAACCTGCAGACATACAAAGCGTTCTCACAAATATTGGCACAGGGGAGAAGTGACACAGCCTATGTAACTAACAACTGAAGCCTAATAAGTGTGAGTGACTAAGAGGTATAAGTCTGTATTAAGGCACAGACAAGGGGCAGCACACTATTTTATTTTTATAATTTATAAGTAGAGGCTGTGTTGGATTAGGAAGGATGGGAAAAGACAGAAAAACAAACAGGTAAGCTGGCTATAGCATAAAGGATAAGTGACCAGGATTGATTGGGAGAGGATACAGCTGTGAATAAAATGTAAAACCAAAGACTATGGCCCAAAAATGGAGGTGGGGAAAGGAAGGTGACACTGCCTAAGTAACTAGTCTAATTAAACACTGATTCAGTCTGAATACACCCACCTCTCCTCAGTATTCAAATACAAAGTGGCTGGACAAAGTGGTTGCCTAGCCCTAGATTTTAGCAATTCACATTCTTTATAAAAACCTCAAATTCTTCTTTCTTTGCATCCCTTATTGCCTGCTTCCATTTCTTTTGCCAGAGTTCCTTTTTATTCTCCTCTTTTGGACAAGACTTCCATTTTCTGAAAAACATCTTCTTGCATCTAATAGCTTCTTCCTTGAGTCGCTCATTAACCAAGCTGACATCGTCTTGGTCTGATCGGCAGCCTCCATTCTAGCTGAGCTTCTATTATTGTGATTTTGAATAGCCTCCGAGCATTCTGGAGAGAGTTGACCCTCTTGACTTTCCCTTTCAACTTCCTACAGTTCCAGTCTACTACTTTTCCTACGGTTACAATCAACTGCAGCTATATTTGAGCATTATTTACTCCTGTGTACAGCAACTCAAGAGGAAGGAGTGAGACCACAGCAAGTGGGCCAAGGAGAATGGAATGGAGTTTGGAATTGGGTATGGCTGGCTGGCACCCTGTACAGAAGCAATAACTATATATATATATTGCAGGTACTATATGTATGATTGTTATTTTTCATTTATGATTAAATTTTTCATTTATGATTGCTGATTTAGGTGTAAACCTCGCAAAAGATAATAGATTTTAAGAAGTGATGTTCCAGACAATTATCATATGTGCCCAGAATGGAAACCCAAGTACAAATAAAATTTCAACAAAAATGTAAGCAGGCTCTTTGTAGCACTCCTGTCATATGGAACTCTTAGCCCACCCTGGTCCAGCACTCACATGCTTTTGTGGTACAGAGAGGCCAAGGCCAGAGTAAGAAGGAGTTGCTGGTTATGCATTTGCATCCCTTCAAAATGTTATCCAAACAAACCCATCTCATGCTACCTGCTCTTTATTTCCTCTCTTCATTGTGAGAGAGGAGACAGAAATAAGCACTGTGAAAGTGATGGAAATGGCCTAAACTAGGCTTCCTCAACCTCGGCCCTCCAGATGTTTTGAGACTACAGTTCCCATCATCCCTGGCCACAGGTCCTGCAACTAGGGATCATGGGAGTTGACTTTCACGCACAAATAAGACTTGGAAACACAAAAATCTCATTTCCTTGTCTATAAAGGAGATGGGCAAGTTGATATTGCAGGCAACAGTTACACCAGCAGCCATTCCTTCATGGATAGTGCAGGTGTCTTAAACATAAACACAAGTTTCAGAGCTGGTTCCAGGTTTTTGCCCATCTTTGGACCAGATGCTTCTGGTAGGGTCTTTTCCTTAAGTGAGCCACTAACCACCACCTCCTCCTTGCCACTGCCTCTTTGCTTGTCTCTGAGCCCAAGCTGCACCACCTCAGAGGGAGAAGACAAGGCATCAGGAGGTTAGAACTCCTTCTCCTCACTCTTTTCGTTGCTTTCAGTGAAATGTGAATGTACACCTGAATTTTGCAGCCTTGTTGATCTCTGTATTTAATTTTGTAATTGTTCTGAAAATTATATAGCAAAAAAACCAATAAACCAAACTAATTCTCTTTCTCTTTCTCTCTTGCATATTTTTTCAAAGCAATCATATGAAAGAAAAGGTGCTACATTGAAAGTGATCGCAAGTCTTCATTTGCATCTGAAGTTGAGCAGAAGGACAGCAGATCTTTAAAGTGCTTTTGAAAACTTGATGATTTCCATTCATTGTGATTCCCTTCAGAACTTCATCAGCCCAGCTATGCAAACAGCAGCACAGCCAAAACAACCCGCAAACTGCAGCACCCAAGTGCATTTCAGCTGGTAATGTTTTCACCTCTCAACCGCCGTAGATGGTTACAGCATGGGGAATGGGAGGGACTTCTGTTTTCCTATAGACGGCATACATTTATCATCTGATTAAAAACATTTATTTATCTCTCTAGAAAAACATCCATCTCCTAACAAGCAGAGACATTTATAAATAACTTATGGTGCTCCAGCCGACTACTAAACATAATGATTTAGGATGAAAGAAGAAGCCTCTCTGATCATTGTCCTTTAGAGTTCCAAAGCCCATTTTTCATGTTGATCTGCTGTCGTCGATAAGTGATTGCCTGATGGTATATTGCATTTCCTCTGCCGTGCTAAGTTGTTTGCAAAAGGAACAAAGGACAACTTGTCACATCAAAGAAAGGACTGGAGCCCACTAGGAGGTGAAGCAAGAGTTTATACTCCCTTGCCCTGAGTTTTGACAGTTAATTAGTTCTCATCCAATTTATGTTCTTGTGACAGCTAGGCTAGGGTCAACAGAAAAAAACCTTCAAGGTTAGACCTGTGCAAAGTATACCTAAACGTCGCAGGTTTTTTCCTCCATCAGGATTGATGGAATAACTACCTTGTTTATTATTACCTAGTATGAAAAGAACATTCAGATCTCCCTCTATACAGTTATACATGACAGAAAGGTTTGTTTACACAATCAGGTGTGGTTATAAAGGCAGCTACTTGGAGATTGACAATCTCAAGCAAAACAGTTTGCTTCAGACTTGTTTACCTATACAGCGATACCTTGCTTCTCAAACTTAATCCGTTCCAGAAGTCCGTTCCAAAACCAAAGCATTTCAAAACCAAGGCGCGCTTTCCCATAGAAAGTAATGCAAAATGGATTAATCCATTCCAGACTTTTAAAAACAACTCCTAAAACAGCAATTTACCATGAATTTTACTATCTAACAAGACCATTGATCCATAAAATGAAAGCAATAATCAATGTACTGTACTATAAAATAAATAAATCAGTACTGTAGATGATGAAAATTAAATTTAATTTTTTTCTTACCTGTATTGATGATAGTCATTGTTTGGATGGGAGGCTTTTATCCATTTCTGCAGTCACACAATCAATCAATCAGTAGCTGAACTTGGTTCCACACAGTCACAAAAACAAATTAACCGAAAAAGCCTCAAAAAAGCAAAATAAATAGCAAAAACAAAAGCACCAAACTTAATCCATTCTGGAAGTCTGTTTGACTTCTGAAATGTTCGAAAACCAAGGTGCAGCTTCTGATTGGTGCAGGCGCCCCGGAAACAATAGCCGACAGCCGCATCGGACATTCGGCATCCAAAAAACGTTCAAAAACCAGAACACGTTTGGGAACCAAAGAGTTTGAGAACCAAGGTACCACTATATTGTGTGCTGGTGCCTCATATGCCAAGGTGGCAAGGAAGGACCGGGTGGACTGAACTGGGGGAACCTGGATTGGAAGAGGGAAAGTTCCACCTGTGCACCCCAACTTCAATCATTTTGAAAGGGTGAGCAGGGATGTCAACTCTGCCCTCTGACCTTCCTGTGAAGTGGAGAGGCTCAGGGGAGGCTTGAGGGAGCTTTGATCAGCTGAGAAGGGTGGCAGAAACTGAGCAGGAACCTAAACAGGGGGGTGCAGTCTTGTTGCCTCAAAGCAAGGGCCTCCACCAGAGATGGGAGCAGACCCACCCATCCCAATTAGCAATCCCAAAATTCCCACAAGGCAAGAGAGTCTTACAAGTGAGTGCATCACTCCTTGTCTGTAAAAGCTTAGTGGGTGAGGTGGGAAATATTTCTGTCCCATTAGGGATTTTCTTGGCCTGCTGTGGAACTCCTGAATTATGACTCTTGAGCACAGAGTCTGCTGTCAAGCTTGTACTTTTATTTGCCTGAATAAAGATATATTTCCTACTTCCAAGTAAGAACTTCTGTGGGTGTTGGGGTGGAGCCAGGAAAATATCACAACTGGGTGGGTAGAGGCCTATCAGGTGCATCTATCACATGCAATTAGCACCACTACCGTGACAAGCAGGCTAGCAACCTATGAAGTAGAAAAGACCCAAGCAATTGGCCTCTCAGTTTTATTTATTTATTGTATTATTACATTTCTATCCCAGCTTTCTTTTAATGTGCTCAAGGTGGCATATGCGGTTCTTGCCATCTCATTTTTATCCTCACCAAAAAGTCTGTGAGAAAGCGACTGGTCAAAAGTCATCCAGTGCGCTTCCTAGCTAGGTCATGATTTGAACCCTGGCCCCCAAGTCCAACAATCTATCCACTACACTACACACACTTCCAGAAATGCAACTGGCCTACACAAAATTTGGGGCTCATCCAGACTTCCCTTTGTCCCACTGTTTCTCCCATTTGTCCCATGATTGTCCCAACAGATGTTTGTTCCGATTCAGCAGCAAATCACTGGTTTTCCTGGGGAAAGCAGCATAACAAAAGAAAATCATCTCGGACCCCCATGCCTAGAAATCATGGGACAAACAAAAGTGTGGAGCTTGATTGGGTTTGTTCCCCTCTCAGATTCCAGTACAATTCACCTCAATTGATAAGCCTCATTTTATATCTTTGTTTAAATGGGTGATTTACACAGCCATTGGTTAGCACCTCTTACTTTTATTAAAAACAGAGGCTTTTCTTACAGCAGCTTTGAGAAGCACATCCCCACACAGCAAATGCTCGTTGGTCACATGCTGGGAATTTGATGGAGAGCCAGGGACTGTTTCTCACTGAAGAAATAAGCTATTTGCACTCATGATGGGTTACATTCTACTACTGTTCAGAAGTGGACTTTATGACAACCCGAAATCAACTCCAAAATAAAATATTTCCCCAGTGGCATGATGTATTTCAATGCTTGGCATCCATGTACCAAGATGGCAGCTTGATGATAATTACAGGAAGGCTTCAAGCAAATGCTGCAACATTCATTGTGACACTTTTGATCTCTATCAGGTGTTAGATTTCATCTCTTTCTTTCATCATCCACATTCTATAATTGGTTAATGGCTTCTGGTCTCTCTGCCTGCTTCTTATTTAAATTGTCTAATGCAGTGCTCTGACCCTCCCTCACTTCCCCCCATACAACTTAGCGCTTTTAGGCTTGTTAATTTCAGTAACCACCTTTCTCTAAGGCAGTATGTAATGAGATGTGGTTCTTTATTATTCAGCTCTTTGTGAGGAAATTTAGGGCACATTCAGGCCACTCTAATTTAGGGAATCGAGGGCACTATATCAGATCAGATCATCCCCAGCAAATAAACTGGTGGGCTGCTTCAAACTGTACTGGTTTCCAGCACAATCCAAGTTGCCTGTTCACTCAGAAGATGTTTCATCTTTTTCAGTCAAATCTGGTGGTGGCTGGACCTCCTTGACAATTATTTCCACTTACACATATGCTTGTCTTCACACACCCATTTACTCTACATTCAGCCTATGTACACACAATGTTATGTACACACAATGTTAGGCACAATCCATATCTATCCTGTATCTACCTTCTTGGGGTTTTTAAATGCATTTTGATGTGTCCCCCCCCCCAAAAAAAATTACCTTCCATCAAGAAGAACACCCTGGCTGCATTTTAAGTCTACGTTGCATTTGATAGTGATGTGGAGACTGTTTCCAATCGACTTGTGGGGACTTCATTCATCATATTTTTCTGAGGTAAAGTTTTGTATATTAGGAATGTCTAAGGGATTCACTATGTGTAATGAAAAGGGTTAAAGGTAAAGGTAAAGGGACCCAAGTCTCCGCTCCTCCACATGCAGCTGCTGGGTGACCTTGAGCCAGTCACACTTCTCTGAAGTCTCTCAGCCCCACTCACCTCACAGAGTGTTTGTTGTGGGAGAGGAAGGAAAAGGAGAATGTTAGCCGCTTTGAGACTCCTTAGGGTAGTGATAAAGTGGGATATCAAATCCAAACACTGACCATTAGGTCCAGTCGTGGCCAACTCTGGGGTTGCGGTGCTTATCTTGCTTTACTGGCCGAGAGAGCTGGCGTACAGCTTCCTGGTCATGTGGCCAGCATGACTAAGCTGCTTCTGGCGAACCAGAGCAGTACACGGAAACACCATTTACCTTCCCGCTGGAGTGGTACCTATTTATCTACTTGCACTTTGACATGCTTTCGAACTGCTAGGTTGGCAGGAGCAGGGACCGAGCAACGGGAGCTCACCCTGTCGCAGGGATTCAAACCACCGACCTTCTGATCGGCGAGTCCTAGGCTCTGTGGTTTAACCTACTGTGCCATCCGCATCCCAGAATGAAAAGGGTTAGCTGCATTTAAATTCCCTTGACAGTGTGTACAAGGTATCAGGGGGACAGCAAACGGTTGGTGGTCAGTGCAACTGTCAGCTACCTGTTAACAGGGGAGCTTTGAGAAATGAGGTCCTGGTCATTTATACAGAGAAATCTGTTAGCTTTTATTGGTTAAGCAAGTGGACATTCTGCCTCACCCACACACGGCCTAATTGTTATGGCTTAATGAGGGTGGGAAATTCTATTCCGATTTAAAACGATTGGCAGGAGAGGAGACCCTGATGGAGCATTAAAAGGAAATCTCTACCTGCAGGAGAGGGAATCTGCGAGTGCCTGAAGGTGGGCAAAGAAGAGGGCAGAAGATTCAGCTGAATGCAAACCTGGAAGCTGAAGCCAGGTGAGGGGCGTCATAGCCTGATGAAAAGTCAAAGATGTGACATCACTGGTTAGAGCAGCAGGACAATGGGAAAGAGGAGAATTCTCATGAGAGGCTTTGGGGAGAGCTCAGAAGCCAGAAGCCGGCATAGAGTCCTGAGTTCCCAAGGCAGCAGAGAATTGCTGGACCACAGAGGGAACTTCGGCAGGAGTTCTGAATCTGGGTGTCTCTTAGGGTTGCCACCTGTCCTGTATAGTACAAATTTGCCCTGTATTTTAAGTCCTCTCTCTGTCTCTCTCTCTCCCCCAAGTTAGGGATGCTCACCAAATGCATGTATTTGAAAGACTGTGTGAAAGGTCATGTATTTAAGTTCTAGGTAGCCAAGCACAAACAGATTTACAAATTCATGTGTGTGTGTGTGTGCGCACGTGTGACAAATTCCAGAGGGGCACTTCAGCACCAGATGGCAGTAAATCTCCCCCAACCATCCTGCCCTGCCCTGTATTTTTCCAGAACAAAGGTGGCAACCTCTACTCCAGAGGCAAGTGGCCAACTAGAAGACTTTGGGTATAGTCCTCATTGCTTGGATTGGTGGCAGTTAACTGGGGTGGAATGGCACAAGCTGGGTAATGGGCAATTGGTACTGGATAGGGGGAAGAACTGAACCTTATCAGTGGCTATTAAACCCTGATGACCATGTTCTACCCCCACTGTCAGAGGTGGTATCCTCTTTAATGCCATATGCTGCACACCACAAGAGGGAAGAGTGCTGTTTCACTCCAGGGTCCTTCTTGCAAG